TAAAGTAGAGTGTTGTGTGGTTGAATGTGCCTCGTTGACAGACGGACAGACAGTTGCTATGTCGGTGTATCGTGCGTCATGCTTGTCAATGGACTCAAGATCATGGATGGTCTGGCTACAGGGATTGTTGTTCTCTTGTTTTAAGCCTTACGCGAGCGTGCAGGGGATAAATTTGTTAAAAATCGACACGTGTGTGTGTGTGTGTGTGTACGTATGCATGATAGAGCGGGTGGATAATACCTAAGTATTTGTTGCTAGGCTGATTATCAAACTGGTCGGGGTCAAGAAATGTTTGAAAAGTGAATATCCCATCGGACACTAGAACCATTTTCATTGCTCCAACGTTACCAGAAGATGGATCGGCTGAGGAGGACCAAAGGAATGGTCTCCAAGGTCTTGACGGTGAATGTTTGCATTAGCCCATTCCGTTTTTTCACAGGCATTAGGCACTGTTGATGATCTTGGATGTCCGTTTCACTCCTTGGGAGATCGTTAATTCCTTACCGGTTGAATGCATTTAAATGCGATGGAAATGTTTGTGATAACCAACAAACACAACGAGCACTAGGACAGCTGTTTCGTCCTGTTTGGAAATTGTATTTTGTGTTTCTGTCAGGACTCGAAAGTTCGCGTCTCAAGTCTGCAAGGTCACCTGATCTGTCTCCGTAAGATTGATTTTTGTGGAGATATCTAAACAGTTTATTCCCCCCAAAACCGAGAACGATTGAGGAACTGTGAACAACGTTTCATCGCGCAGTGTGAAAATACGATGCCGTGTACCTCGTTATTCTGAAAGTGGAAGAAACCTATCTTCGTCGTGTTTTGCTACGCAAGCAACAGGATGGAAAACAATTGGAACAGCTTTTCTCCTTTTCTGTGTTTTCTCTTCCGGAAACCCATCTCTGACTTGACTAAAAAGAGCGTCCAAAACGAAAGCAGCCTGTTGAGAAAGTACCAGAGTTTTGTGTTATCGCTTGCTTGTGTGAGTGGATATCAAAGTCCATACTTTAGACAAGTCCAATGTTTTATTACGAAGTTTGGATTAGCCAATTCGTTTTTCACAGGCAACAGGCACCGTGAATGATCTTGGGTGTCGACAGGCAATCCGGAAGTTCGTGGTTCGAGTTCTGACAGGGACACAAAGAGTGCACACCGCTGATGAGTCCCA